TGTCTTTTATGATCAGTGTTGCGAGTGGAGTTTTCGGGTGAATGAATATAGGATATTTTGCCTCTTCGTTAAGTGAGGAGTTTCCTATTCTCCCTTTAGAACACCATAATCCTCTATCATCTTTGAAAAGTCGTAGCGTATTTTCTACGGACTTGCGAAAATTAGTTGTATTATGTACTGCTTGGTGGTTTCGAATTAGTGCGTATCTTGCTGCGGTAATATCGCTCCCTCCGATAGTACATAGTGAGTCGGAGAAGTTTTGTAACTCTCTGATGCTTTTAAAGATCGCTTTTTGTCTGTCGTGCGAGAATTGTTTGAGTAACTTCTTCAGGAATAGTAGAGTGAGCGCCATTGCTCTTTTTGCTTTTTCGAATGAACTGAATCTTTTCAAGTCTAATACAGATGTTATTACGGTCTCTTGGTCCGCTTTTTTGGTGTTAATAACGTTGATGCTTGGTATTTCATTTTCTAATTCGTTTAATTGTAGTTCATAAGTAGGTCCCGACCACGTATGGCAGGGGAGGCGTAGAAACTTTGGCCCTTCCCACCACATGTGATCTGATAACTGCGTTCTTGTTAACCCTCGCGTCCCTGCGTCGGCTGGGTTTTCGGTTGTTTGCACGAAGTGAAAATGGACTGAAACTGATTTCCCTTTCAAGGTTTTTACTATGTTTCGTATCTCTTTGAGTCTATTGGTCACTAACACACCAGCATTAGTGTTGTTTATTGGACTAGTTAACCATGACAGCGCGATCTGGGAGTCTGAGAAAACGTGTATTTGGAAGTTTTTCTCAGTTCGCTTGCTTTCTAAGGCTTGGTATATAGAGTTTCCCAAGCGTACAGCTATAGTTATTGCGTTCATTTCCATTTTCGGTATGGTTGGATTTGAATTCAAAGACGGTAATTTGCATTTTGCCATTAACAATGTCACATCCTTTTCATCAAAGAGGTATGCGCAGGCGGACATGGCTAAGGTACTAGCGTCTGCGAAAAGCGCAAGACTGCAAGTGTTGATCTCGTTTGCGAATTTCCTGGGTAAAGATTTTTCAAAGCCGTCTGCATCGGAAACAAGCTTATTCCATTTCTCTTGTATCTGCGTGGGTAGAGTAGTATCCCAAGCGTACTTGCGTTTCCACAGTTCTTGTTGGAATCGTTTTAGCTGAGTCAATAGCGGTACCATGAGTCCGAAGGGGTCGTAAATAGATGATATTTGCCGCGCTACTATGCGTTTTGTTAAGTTAGGTGACTTCGGAAAATCGCAGCGAATTGTTAGTGTGTCGTTTGTACTGTTCCACTTAACACCTAATATTTTCTGTGTCGTGGAATTCGCAAGAGCATCTTGTGGCAAGGCTGTAATAATGCTTTCATCATTGGAGAGGAATTCACGTAAGTTCATTCCCATGTCCGCAAAAATTTTTCTGGTTATGGTAGATTTGCGTATGGCTTCATTTTTCGTATCTGCGCTCAGTATGAGGTTGTCAACATATAAATTCTCTTGGATTTCATTTCCCAAGTTAGTGTCACTGATCTTTTGTAAATGATGTTGAATTGTAGCGCTGAGGAGGAATGGAGAGGCGTTTAGTCCAAAAGTAACCCTAGTAAAGCGATAGGTGATAACATTTTCCGCGGAGGGCTCTTTATTGCAATCGCGTAGCCAAAAAAATCTTGTCGCGTCTCTGTCGCATTCGTGTAGACGGACTTGCAAAAAGGCTTTCTCTACATCTGATGTTACTACGATATTCGATGCTCTGAAGCGTAATAGTACAGCGTAGATGTCTGGTAGGATCAGTGGTCCTTGGTGCAGCACGTCATTAAGAGAAGGGTGACCCTTAAAATGCGATGATGCATCAAAAACAATGCGTAGCTTAGTGGTTTCCTTATGAGGGGTGATAACAGGTTGATGAGGAATGTAATGGATGATCCCTGTTTCTTTCTGGTTATGTTGCGGGAGCTCTTCTATGATACCACTTCGCAGTTGAGTTTTTATGGTGTTATCATAGTCCGCTAAAAGCTGTGGGTGGGCTTTTAGGTTTGTGGTGACACTCTGAAGGCGTTTTTGTGCAATAGCTTTATTAGTGGGAAGTGGCGGGTGATTCTCTTTGAACGGCAAGCGTACGTAATACCCGTCCTCCTTCTTTTCGATAGTGTTGTTGAAAAACTTTAATACTTTTTCATTGATTGCTGATTTTTCTGCGTTTTTTGTTCCTGAGAATTCGTATATTCCTGCCGAATCCATTGTCCAGTATTTGTCCCACCTCTGTCTATCTGTTTCGTCATCAGTCATTGCTTGAATCATGGTCACCATACTGGATTGAACGTCGTATTCTTGAAATTCTTGGCACTGCGTTACTTGTTGTGTTCCCGTTAGAAGATACCCTAATTTTGAAGGTATAACTCGTAACCCAGATGGGAGAATGTAATGTGGAGAGGGGGATTCTAGCAGGTTCCATAGTTGATCGCATCCAAGGAGGATTTGCGGTTTGGTTGGGCCTCCCGTCACGATAGTGGAAAGGCAAATGTTGTTGTGCATCATAAAGTTTTTGTCTTCTTGACTTAGCTGTGTCATTTTTCCCTTTGCCGTTAGGACTGGTGTTGCGTACAGACGTATGTTATGTTTTTCTCCATTGCTGTCCAGTAGCCCTACTGTTGTCACTCCACAACTAATGGCCTTCGGCTTTTTGTCCCCGAAAGTATACATATTCAACTCTTGCATTTCTTTGCACTGTAGCCCTAGTTCTTCTGTAAGGTCCTGGCTTATGAAAGACTGATCAGCGCCTGTATCGAAGAGGATTTCAACTGGTTGCCATTTCTGGCTCTTTGCATTCCATAAGTGTGCTATTCCGGTTAAGAGTACAATGTTTTCTTTCTGCATTGTACTGTGGGGCATGAATGAATGGTAACTGTTGCCTTTGATTTCTTGTCCTTCTTCTTCTTGGATATTTTCTTCTGCTGCACAGAGTCGGATTGGATGTGCTTGTGTGATTTTGAAGTTTCTGTGTTTCGTTTGTTTTTGGTATTTGTATTCAACTGTGCCCTGACAGATGGTTTTTTGATTGATGGTTGTGTAGGTTGCACTATGGTTGGTTTCATTTCGGACTTGATCGGATTATCAATGCTTTGTCTCTGAGGGCATAATGCGTAGAAGTGTTTTGTCCCTTGGCAAAGTCTGCATCCTTCTTTGCTACACTGAGATGCAAAGTGACCTTTGCGTCCACAATTGAGGCACATCTTATTTTCCTGCAGAAAGTTCCTCCTTTCTGCAATGGTGCTGTAACGTGAACAGCCTGCGGCTCTGTGCTCTGTAGAGTCGCAAAAAATGCAATTTGAATGGTTATGCGGTTTTGTTGGTCTCCTTTTTGACCCTTCACCGCGTTCTGATTCCTTGCCCATATCAATTTTTACCATACTATTGATACGTTCTTCCGTTCCTATATGTGCGTCTAGTGCCTCAATCATGTCTTGCATTTTCCATGCTTCCTCAGGCATGTCATGCGTCATCAAGACCTCAAGAACTTTCCGTTGTATTCTGTATGCGAACTTTGATAATACTTTTTGAGTGTTGTATGACCCATCTAAATTGGCTCCTAGTTTTTGGAGTTGCGTTACTACGGGGATAATAAACTCTAATAGTTTCCTTTGTGCCTGTATGGAACTTTTGTCCGTGTTTGCATTCTCGAGGCGTTTGTGTAACACTCTTACAAGATCTGCGCTATTCCCATATTTTTTGTGTAAGAGGTTAACTGCCGAGTCGTAAATTGTCACCAGTGATCGGGTAACGTCTGACCAGTTCCCGGGGCTCCCCCTGGAGCGCGCTTAATAAGTAGTTGAATTTCTGTAACTTCGTTAGCGAGTTCTGTGCGTCAACATTAGCATAGAATAACGTCCAGAAGTTATCGTACTCCCAAATCTTCCCATCGAATGTGGGTATAGGGATAGCTGGAAGTTTTGGCGTTTTCATTTCAAGCTGTCCTATACTAAGGACCTGCGTTCGCTCGTTGCGCATTTCGCTCTCCCGCTTAGAATCGAGTACGCTGAGGCGTTTTGCTTCCATTCGAATAACTAGGTTCTCCGCGCGGTCTATTGCTGATTGCGTTTTCTCCATATAATCCAAAACTTGTCCTTCTTGTTCTTCGTTAAGCGGTTCATTAAGCCCTTCAACTGTGCTAATGAATGCGCTGAGATGCTCACTGAGTAGTTTTGCTGAGGCCTTCAATTCGTGGGTTAAAGATGCCATGCGTTCAAACACATCACTATCTGAGCTTAACGAAAGATTTTGGAAGGAAATGTCTTCCTCGCATCGCATACACAAGTCACTAAGATTGTTGCAATGCCTCGTTAACCGACTCTTCTGCGTTTTCAAAGTTAGAGACCCCGCCATGGTTACTACCGATTGTGTAGCCATCTATCCCGCTTATGCGTTGTATATTGAAAGCGTACCTCTTACTTCTTGTCGTCGATCCGATGCTCCAGTGTGTCGATATAGCACGATGCACCAGTGTCTCGGTGGTTCGTGGTGGAAGACAGCTGAGTGCCAATGTTTATTCCGGGGGCGACCTTTCGAGGTGGTCGCTGAAGACAGAACTAACCCTACTCTCTCATATCATCTACTCTGGGTATCTTCATTGATGATAAGTCTGTTGATGTTGATCATTCATTCTGTAACTTGTTTTGACCAGCAATCATTGTAGCTGTAAGCTGCAATACTCCCTCCTTTAGTTATAAGCAACACAGTGCTTTGGATCGGAGGTTTTTTGTTTGAACTCGGAGCAAATGGGCACAGTTCTGCCGGCAAGATTTTACGATGTACTATAAGAGATAGAAGGTTTCTAACACTAGCGCTTCTCAATATAGAATAACCAGTACGTCATCCAGGCTTTTAGTAAACAGATATCTGACCCAGCAGCAAACAAATGAAGAAGAGTACCTGATAGTAGTTGTGAAGCCCAAATGGACATGATGAGTTCAGATAGCAATCTGGCGGTTTGCCCATATCGATTTCGCTAGGTGCAATCCGCATCTCGAGTATATGTGGCACCAGATATCATAGCGAAGAGCGTGTAGATTGCTGCGGACACCGCAATCGCAGCCAGCGTTCCACGTGGGATCGCAACCTGAACGTCATGCAATAGCGAGTTCATCACACGACTATGTCTCCATTATTGTATAATAGACGAAGTTTACGCAGATAAATGCACAGAGACACACAGGTGTACCTGAGGATTCCTCAGGTTTCCGCTGATATTCGCTCCAGCCATGATACCAGTGGCTGCAGGGAAGTATACTGCGAAGACAGTAAAGAAATTATGTCCATCTCGGAAGTCTGGTAAAGAGTTTGTAGATAGCGTTTCCCCTGAAACAGTGCATGTTAACTGCTTAGATGTGTCGATTTTGAATAATAGTACCTCCATGATTTGTTTTTATTACCCATTTCCTTTTCGCGAATTTCGCTTGGTCACTGATAATCAAAGTCGTTCAAGAGGCGAAAGACCAAAGTAATTCTTGTCGTTTGACCGCGTGCAACTCAAAGCTTTTTGGGGATAGCTCGAGCAGATAACACAGAGACCATTAGGCTGGATGTGTTATAAGCCGCGCTTGGTTTTTACCCTGTATACACAAGTGAGTGGGCAGTGATCGATCAGACAACTCGTGGTGCATGCGAGCTTAATGAAAGATATGAAAAACGTGACATCGAACTTCATGAGATATTCCCATATATTTGTTTGAGGAACATCGCGTCGATGAAGTTAGCCCCTTCTTGCTGAAATCTTTCTTTCCATCATTTCCTGTGTTCATGCAAGATAAGAGGTGATCGAGGAGCGATTTTTGACTGCTTGAGGCACGCGAAACGAAACGAGGCAACCATCATGCTATTTATGCAACTTACGCCATTGGACTCAATTTTTATAGTTGCAAATTCTGAACGTGTGACCGAGACTAAAAAGGACTCCAAAACTAGAAATCTGTAATGCACCTTCCGCAGCAAGGTTCTTCCCTCCCCGAGTCGTTCACTTAAAGGAGACGAGCGGCGAGTGCATTCGATGCGTTATTTTGTTCGAAATTAAGACAAGAGGGTGCAATGAGGAAACATTAGAGTGAGGAGAAAAGCAAAAAGCACCATAGAAAACACTAAATTTCCCTTAGGAGGCCGGCCGTAGTACGACGGAGAGACACAGCGCTGCGAGGAGAGGGAGAACGCGAGATAGTACGTCGTACGCGAGAGGACGCAGAGACCACGTATGCCGTGGTGGATTACGCTGGCAGCGCGGGCAGCGCGGCGGGCAAGGCCTTAGCGCCATTGCCGCGCACTTTTGGGTCGCGATAGTGTCGCGTCCTCAGTGCTTGGGGAGCCCACTATCGCACCCTGGGAAGAACTTCTGCTGGTTGCCTAATCCTGACTCGTGGCTTTAAAGGAAGATGAGCAAGGAGTTCACAGATGGAATAGAACAACCCTAGCAAATTAGAATGAGTTGCCTTAGTGAATGCGCCTTCATATTTGAAAGTCGCCTGTAATTGAGGAGTTTGTTTCTCCACGAGTAGGGAACGAGGACCAAATGATGTGAATATCTTCGCGAATATAAGTAGAGATGTGAATGAACCAGCTGAGAAAAAAGTGAGGATGGCCTAAAAAAAACTCAAAGTAAGAATTTTTGGCCTGTATGACTGCCAGAAAAAGATGTCGGGGGGATAAGAGACAAGGCAGCGTGACGCAGACAGATATGGGGGAGGGGGCGGGCACGGATCCCTTTCGGAGTAGGGGATAAAAGTCCTAAGCGCCCGGCGTCTTGAAAATGCATGTAGAAGCTCGAAAGTGGTGCACGACTGCAGTGTGCACCTTTCTCCAAGGAAAGAGACTTTTTCCCCTTCACGCCACGAGGATGACCGACGACTCTTTCACACATTCACACAGTCCGCTGTGACCTATGCTCGTGGGATGCTGCAGCACTAGTATCACATGCGATTCGTAAGCCCGAAAGATACCATTAGCTGGTGATATTTATGAGCAACGAAAAACTAGGGCCATTGGATAACAATAAATAAAAGATTGGATGCGCTTAGTTTTCCCGTACCCCGCAAAATTATTGCTTTTGTGAACCCTTCGCTTCTTTCTATTAAAATCAATATGTTAATTCAAAGAGTAGCAAAGTAAATCTTCTAAATCTAAATCTATATCAAGCAGATCTTGAACAAAAAGGCAAAAATGCTCACGTTGCTCTTTACAACGCGGAAATTAAGAAGTCTTGTCTTTTCGCTATTACACGTCCTCACTGTTTTAGTAATCTGGTATTATTTCCCTGTATAATTCTAGTGATCAAAGATGTGGTGGAAATTATCATGATCATCAGTTTTGACTCTTTTTTCAGAACCCAAATCTGCGGGGTATGAGTGAGGCGGCGGCAATGCAAAATCGCCGCATTCGCTCAAGCGACAAACGTGAAACCACGCGTTCACACGAATGCCCGTAAAGCAAATCAGCATAGAAGTTCGTCTGAACGACTCCTACTTGTCTGTTATGAGTCGTTTTCAGACGCTTCTATGTTTAGGATCGCTCATATGGCATCGCAGATGCCTCCGTGCCTGGAAATGGTCGGAAAAGTATACTAAGGCCCTGCAAGGCAAGGTGCAGCAGCTGCAGTTTTTTACTTCTATCAGGCTGTTGTCTGGCATCTCACCTGTCATACTTCCGTTCCGGCTATGATGGCGTTTGGTTTACTTTGTTTCATTTTTCCTATGTCTTTACACAGGCGCATTCTTGCCGAGAGATTGAGCAAACGACTCTAATCTTTATACGTTTTCGACTAGATTCTTTGTCAATTTCGTTCAAGTGTTCAAATGTTTCATGAACGGCCTTTAAGGCAGCTGTGGGTGTAGACTGAGTTCTGATAAAGCGATCGGCTGTTTGTTATGCGTCAGGAATAGATATTCACTTATGCAAAAGACACGTGACATTGTAGGAATCGTTTTCGTGCGAACTTGATAACCGTGACAATTGAAAAAATACGATATGAACTTTGATCCCGGTGGGGGTTTCCGCCAGGGTCAACCGTGCATTACGCAGAACTCTTTCCTTTTCGGAGCATCAGTACGACCTTCTCCCCCTGTATAAGCTGTTGTGTCGTTCTACATAATTTCATGCCCAGCATCGAAGTATGGTCCATCACCTACATATACGGAGAGATGGTGGACACTGGTATGTCGCGCGCTTTTTCTCGCTCAAAGAAAGTACGCAATCGAGCCAACATTAAATTCTACTCATTAAATGGGTGTAGCGTCCAGATTTTCGCGTAAACCTATGCACGGTTAGGCGTATATATAATCGGTTAGATTTGCTACTTGCATGACCTTCCATCTTCTTTTTTGGCAATATTCATTTTCTCGTTTTGATAAGCGAACAATGGATGGTTCGGACTATTCTCTCGTTGGTATGGTTGTGTTTGTGATGCGCAAGTGTGCCTTTCTTATAGTTATTCAGGAAGCGAAGCCCCAGGACAGTCATCAACTGGGATCACTTCACTTCTCTTGTCAGCTTATGGGAGGATTCCGTTATCGAGAACATCGACGAGGAATATCATCGGCTCGTTGAACACCTTCACGAGAGTGGCAGGAAGGCAGAGAGTTTGCAAGTCACCAAAGGACGTCTGTCTACGAAACTCTCGAGCTGATACGCCAACGTGGAGCCGCACGAGCTGCAGGCAATCACCGACTCACGTCCGAGCTTGCGAAGCTATGCAGAGAGGCGATAAAGGAAGATCTCAAGGAGCGAAGAGCAGCAGTATTAGCTGAAGCAGCAGAGGCTGGGAGGAGCATCCGCAATGCCCGCCGAAGCTTTGCCAGCTACAAGACCAAGATGACCTGCCTCCGACGTCCGGATGGAACAGTCACTGCATCCCGAAGGGCAATGGAGAAAGTCATCCACGACTTCTACTCGGATCTCTTCGATAGCCATGTCCATCTGCCCACTTATCAACTGCAACAGGATGGATACGTCGTCCCCTCAGTTCTCTCTTCCGAAGTCCGACACGCCATCAAGTCGGTGAAGAATCGTACAGCACCCGGTCTCGACAGGGTCAAACCGGAACATCTGAAGAATGCGCCGCCAGTCATCATCAAAACTCTGGCTCGACTCTTCACGCGCTACCTGTCGGAATGCAAGGTACCCACTCCGTGGAAAACCAGCAGGACCGTGTTGCTGTACAAGAAGGGAGACCTGGACGACATTGGCAACTATCGCCCAATCTGCCTGCTGTCTGTAATCTACAAGCTATTCACTCGAGTCATCCTTAACAGGATCGGCAGAATACTAGATGAAGGACAGCCATGCGAGCAAGCAGGGTTTCCGAAGAGGGTTCAGCACGATCGACCATATCCACACGGTTACGAGACTCATTGAAGTTTCACGGGAGTACAAGATGCCGCTTTGTCTCACATTCATCGACTTGAAGAAGGCCTTCGACTCTGTGGAGACAGAAGCGGTCATCGAAGCCTTGGGCAAACCAGGGCGTCCCTACTCAGTACATCAAGATTCTTCGTGAGCTCTACAGCAACTTTACGACCAGGAAATTGTTTTTGAGTCATGACCCCCGTCAAGAGATGGGTTCGCGGCGGAGCTATCCATTTCTCGCCCAAACTCTTCAGCGCCGCCGCTCTCGAGAACGTCATGCGTCAACTGGAATGGGAAGACATGGGAGTGAAGGTCGACGGCCGGCAACTACACCACCTTCGTTTTGCTGACGACATCGTTCTTATAACGCCGAACATCGAGCAAGCGGAGCGAATGCTGGCTGATTTCGACTGCGCCTGTGGTAAGGTCGGTCTACAGCTGAACCTAACGAAGACGATGTTTATGAGAAACGGATTGGTTCCTGATGCCCCATTCACGCTCAACGGAACGAACATCACCGAATGCTCCAGCTACGTGTACCTAGGTCGGGAAATCAATATGATGAACGATCTAGCTCCAGAGCTGAGCAGGAGGAAACGAGCGGCTTGGGGAGCGTATAAGAACATCGAGGGAGTAGTGAAGAAGACGAAGAACATCCGGTCCGTGTCACGTTCGCTGTCCTTCCTGCCCTAACCTACATGCCTCAGAGACTTGGACTCTGCGCAGGCAGGACGAGCATGCGGTCAGCGTTATCCAACGCGCTGTCGAGAGGACGATGCTAGGAGTAACCCTATACACGCAAGTGCAGAGGGGAATCCGGAGTGCCGAACTACGCCAACGATCGAAGATCAGGGACGCTGCCGTTTTCGCCAAGGAATCGAAGATAAGGGCCGGACACGTCATGCGATTTTGCGATGACCGTTGGACCAGAGCGGTTACCGACTGGATCCCTCGGGACGTCAAACGAACACCTGGACGACCGCCGGCCCGATGGTCAGACTTCTTCACGAAAGCTCTGAACGAAAGGAATGAAGGACATCGTGTCCCTCGAGCGAGGAGGGTCCACTGGACAACTCTTGCACGCGACAGGGACGAATGGAGACGTTGCTGGCGCCCGCTCGAGCAATTCGATGATCAACGGGACGACAGGTGATGAGACTCGAAAACTTTTAAAAATCAAGCTTTTTTTCTGCCAATTTTTGAATGTTGCATATGTTAAATTTACAAAAAAACCGTCGCTTCTCTAATTTTGGTGCCACATAAGATTTATATGACTTTCTTATTCAATGTTTTTTCAACTCTTGCACATCTCTAAGGTTAATTAGAAACTAGAGGAATAGCTTCCGAAAAATGGCCGCATATTTCCGAAGACTCGAAAAATTATCTCGATGTTCCATTTTCAGGAGTTTGTAGTCCGATTTTTTTTTGGGTGGCGGTGAACGGCTTTAAAGTCGTGAGGTCATCCAAAGTGGTCAACCTGGGCGCCTTCAGTCAGCGGTGTCAGTTGTTCGATACAATCGTGTCAGTTCTCTTCACATTTTCTGGATTCATTATTGCCTTTGGCATTATTTTCGTGGCAGCGGTGTGGTCCCACCCTGATCCGGACTAGTAGGATTTTTTATTACGGCCAGGTCGCAAACGCAACCTCAGTTCGCAGTTATTGCAGCCTTGGTAGAGTCTACGGCCAGAGCTAGGCCACCATTTACTTAGGACCAGGCGAAATGCATTCATTTTGTACATCACCATCCTTCAAAGTTTTAATATCAGTTTTTCGCAAAAGTTAAGGAAGCGAGTTCAATGTTCGGGAAAATATCGATTTTTCGAGTACCTCACCATTTTTCCTACGGTTTCGAGATCTACATATTGCTCGCATGCCCTAATCCATTTAATTCACTCCAGGTACCTGGTCTATCCGCTTTCCACAACGACTACATGCCTTACTTTTTATGCTGTAAATTCGCCGACTTCCGTTGCCAAATGTTCTATTGGAGACGACCATCAAGTGGCTGCCAGGAGTACCAGCCGCCAGCATACGGTAGGTTTTGATGTTTCCCGGTATTTTTCGATAATATCTTGTTTTTTCCTAAACAGCTAAGCTTTAACTAAAATCCGATTTCGCCTTGACATAAGAGCAAGGTCTTCATCATGACGAGCATTAATTCGTTCCGGGGATCAAATCCTGGGTCGTGAGTCGCCCGGGCCAACCAAGCCTTCCATCCCTCCGGGGTCGGTTAATTGGTACCAGACTTGTCTGGGAGGATAAAAACACTGACTTGTACATCGGCTGGCCCCCGCAAGTCATTGTATAGGCCACATCGCATTCAAACGCCACTACGAATGTACAAATGGAAGTAGAATGCGTGCCGCATCCCAAAAAGGGATTGATCAACGGCAAATGCTTTATCCTTTATCCTTTTGATCTTTAGCTTCACACTTACTCCCCATCTTTGAGTATTAAGCAACACAGTGCCTTTGGATCGGAGGTTTTTTTGAACTCGGAGATGGCACGGTTCTGCTTCAAGATTTACGATGTACTATAAAGGAAACGAAAGGTTTCTAACACTAGCGCTTCTCAATATAGAATAACCAGTACGTCATCCAGGCTTTTAGTAAACAGATATCTGACCCAGCAGCAAACAAATGAAGAAGAGTACCTGATAGTAGTTGTGAAGCCCAAATGGACATGATGAGTTCAGATAGCAATCTGGCGGTTTGCCCATATCGATTTCGCTGGTGCCATCCGCATCTCGAGCATATGTGGCACCAGATACCATAGCGAAGAGCGTGTAGATTGCTGCGGACACCGCAATCGCAGCCAGCGTTCCACGTGGGATCGCAACCTGAACGTCATGCAATAGCGAGTTCATCACACGACTATGTCTCCATTATTGTATAATAGACGAAGTTTACGCAGATAAATGCACAGAGACACACAGGTGTACCTGAGGATTCCTCAGGTTTCCGCTGATATTCGCTCCAGCCATGATACCAGTGGCTGCAGGGAAGTATACTGCGAAGACAGTAAAGAAATTATGTCCATCTCGGAAGTCTGGTAAAGAGTTTGTAGATAGCGTTTCCCCTGAAACAGTGCATGTTAACTGCTTAGATGTGTCGATTTTGAATACGTACCTCCATGATTTGTCTTGATTACCCATTCTTTTCATGAATTTCCTTTTCACTTATAATCAAGTCCGTCAAAGTGCGACGACCCAAAGTAATTCTTGATCTTGTTTGCCGCTGCAACAAAGCTTTTGTGGGGAACTCGAGCAGTAACACAGTAGACCATAGGCGTAGTGTTAGGCGCTAAGCCGCGCTTGGTTTTTACCCTTTATACAACGTGAGTGGGCAGTGATCGATCAGACAACTCGTGGTGCATGCGAGCTTAATGAAAGATATGAAAAACGTGACATCCGACTTTATGAGATATTCCCGTAATTTGTTTGAGGAACATCGCGTCGATGAAGTTAGCCCCTTCTTGCTGAAATCTTTCTTTAACATCCCATCATTTCCTGTGTTCATGCAAGATAAGAGGTGATCGAGGAGCGATTTTTGACTGCTTGAGGCACGCGAAACGAAACGAGGCAACATCACTGCTATTATGAACTACGCCATTGACTCAATTATTTGCTGGGTGCGGCAAAAGTTCTGGCAACGGTAAATAT